TCGCTGGAGTCCCAAAGCTTTAGAAATGGCTTTGTAACCTTTTCCAGCTTTCCAAAGATGTGATAAACCACAGTTAATTTATGTTTTAACAGGGGGGGGAGCAATCACTTTTTCACACAGGGCCATGTAGGTTTGGATTTTTTTCCCCCTTAATAATAAAAACCTTCATTTAAAAACTGCATTTTGTGTTTACTTGTGTTATCTTTGTCTAATATTTAAATTTGTTTGATGATCTGAAACATTTAAGTGTGACAAACATGCAAAAAAATAAGAAATCAGGAAGGGGGCAAACACTTTTTCACACAACTGTAAATGACAATGAAAGGTACATTTGCCTGTACTTACTGAAACACATTCCTAGTAAAACCTGTTCTGCATGTTAATTGATGTAAGTAAAGTGTATAATGCGTCTGTTACCTCCTGCATCCTGTTCCCTCCTCTGGTTTGTTTACATGAGAGTTCAGTTGTGCAGTTTTTCACAATCAGCCATTTTTTTAGTCACGTTTTGGCCTGGAACACTTGGAGGTTGGAAGTTGAAAATTGAAAATTTCAACCTCAAGACTACGGAAAAAATTTCAAGACACGGAAAACCGCCCTCCATAGTCTAGGTATGCCCCCTTCTCTTTTCTCCGCATTGCACTGTTTTGATTATTATACTGTATAGTATTGCACCTACATCTCGCTGTACCAGACAGTATGAACCCCGATCTGGACCACACACTCCCTTGCATTTTTGTTTTGTGTATTGTTTTACTTTCTTTGTTGTGTTTGTTTTCCCTGATTCAGTGTCTGCAGGTGCTGCTGTGTCATTTACACACACACACACACACACACACACACACATATCAACATTAATGTTCAGTCTATATTAACCCAATCAACATGTCATCTATCAAATTCTTAACCTGGCATATCCATGGAATTGGTTCTCAGGCAAAGAAAATAAAAGTTCTCAATCATCTTGCTAAACTGCAAGCAGATATATGCTTAATACAAGAAACACACCTCTCAGAATCAGACCACAACTAATTTAAATCACCACAATTCACTCAGTCATTCTCAGCTCACTACAACACAAAACAAAGAGGGGTATGTATTTTAATTAACAAAAAAATTGAATTTGTCCATAACTTCACCATCACCGATCCTGAAGGACGTTTTATCATTATAAACATATCCATCATAGTCCAGTCACAATCTGTAATGTTTATGGCCCAAACACTGATGACCCATCCTTTTTTCACAATTGTTTTTCCTCCTTCTCAAACATTTGCAACTGCCCAGTCCTAATAGGAGGCCACAGTTATCGACCCATCAGTAGACATACTGTATCTAATATTACAAATAATAAGCATACTGTGGACCTGGTAATCCACAGAAACAATAAAACAGTTCATGAGCGATTTTGGTCTTGGCGATAGTTGGCGATTACATCACCCAAACTCAAGAGAATACCCATTCTTGTCACCGGTTCACCACTCATACTCACGCATTGACTTCTTCCTCAACAGCAATTCAATCATATCTAATATTTCAGACTCGAAGATCCATCCTATCATTATCAGCGACCATGCTCCTGTAACATTTATATGGAACAGAATTACCCTACATCACTAGATGGCGCTTCAATACATCTCTTCTCAAAGACCCTCAGTTTGACAGTCTCATTAAAAAAGAGTGGGCGTCCTTCTTAGAAATAAATGATTCCCCAGAGTCATCACCAACCCTTCTGTGGGAAACAGGGAAAGCAGATTTAAGAGGAATAATCATCTCATTCTCCGTTTACAAAAAAAAGAACAAGAAGCTGAACTGGAACAACAAATCAACCGACTCAAAATCATTAATGCAAGTAACCCAACAGCGGAAACCCAGAACGAATTCCAAATAAACAAAATTATAAATAATAAAACTCAATCCTCATACACAGACTTAGACAAGAACATTTTCATCATAGCAATAAATGATAAATAAATGCTTTTATGTGTCAAGTGATTGACAGTAAACAGAGCATACTGCCACAATAAACAGACCAAGCAGACAAAACCAAATGAGTACTTCCTACTCATGCCACTGATTCTCTTGTTCTCTGGCAGTTGTTTTCAATGATGCGTAAGGATGAATACCATTGAATGGCTAATGATGAATGAGAAAGAAAGTTGTCATATGTCCTACAGAAACTGGCTACAGCAACCACAAGTAAGGGAAGAAGACCAAAATTGTAATTTCATCCAACACACATAAATTCATCTTTTACCCTTTTTTGCACTGGCCAGGGCTTTGTGATGGCTGAGATGTCGCATGCAGTCATCAGCATTGACCTGAAGGGGGAGATACATTGACACACATTAATCTTCACAGAGCCACACCTTAAACAGAAAATGATCAACAGCAGCTACTTATAGCATAAGTCCACGTCTAACCATTGTGAGTGACATTTATTGAACTTGAAGTCAACAAAGAGTATATTTTTTGTGTGTATAAATTCACTAACTGCATCTCAAAAACAAATTTCTGTGTAATGATAATTCTGTGATATGCATCTAATGCACAAAGCTTTAAAATTCAAATTATATTTGTATCAATAATACTTTGCTTTATGAATTATTTGCCTAATGAAGAACAGTTGATTTGTAAAAAAGAACTACTTTACTAACAGCAATCTCATAGCACACAGATACAACAGTACTCAGGAGTCTTGCTTTCAGTTGCCCTCTTAAATGAATCATTTCTTATTTTGGCAAATACACTTATCTGCTTTCTTTCCAAGATTGAGACGAGAAGATTGATATCAAACCTCTGTCTGTGTGTTTAGTACGGAGCTGGAGTCCGGATATGATTAGCGTAGCTTAGCATAAAGACTGGAAGCAGGGGGAAACAGCTAGCCTGGCTTTATTACGTGCAGTGACTTTAATGCTAGATTTGGCCAAAAAGTAGCTAAGCTGGCGTGTGGTACGAGTTTTGGAGGACTGGTACTCACCTCAATAAGTCTCTGTGATGTTCGTCTTCCCAAACAAACTGGCTGTTCTTGGTGAGCTCAAAGAACTCTCCACGCTTCCTGACAACACACACACACAAGTATAATGACACAGCAGATAATTATCCTCATACAGTATAACCTACTTTTCTCCTCCACCACCCACTGTCTGGACTGAAAGAGGGATTAGATAAGAGCTGTAATCACAGGTGGATGATTGAAAATAAGTGGAAAAAAGACGAGGTGAAGAAGATGGAAAAGATGAAATGTCGGAGGGAAGGATGACCTAAGCATGCAGACATCTTCTACATTACACCAACATGTTTTTTCACTAACGTCCACCAAAACATAACTGTAGATGTTGCATGTAATTCAACCAACTTTCTTTCAGAATAATCCAATGCACAAAACAGACAATGACATAAGTACCGACTAAATAATGTAAAAATTAAAAAAAAATTAAAAAATTCTGGGCAAAGATCGTCCCAGGGCCATATGAAAGGATTCAGAATTTTGTTGCAGGGAAAACCTTTCAGGAAGTCAACAATATACTGTATGTCAGAGGTCAATGTATACGTATGTTACAAAATGGTTGCTCATAGTAACAAACCCACAAACAATCAAAAAACTCTGCAGCTTTTTCCAGCAATTTAGCATTAAGTTCATTGCCTGTAAATTCTGTTCTCTTCAAACTGGTTCCCAGCAGCAGCAGGCAGCTGTTTTTAGTGACACAGCTCTGATGAATTGTACTCTACCTGCTGAGCAGCAAACAGCAGACAGACACAGTTAGAGACTAGCTGGTGAACATAGTGGAGCATTTAGCAGCTGAGAGGTGGAGACCAAACCAAAGCTAAAAGGAAAGTGAATATTGGACTTACAGAAACACGATTAATGGATGATTATGTTGCATCATGACTCCTGGATGTGAAATAGGCAACTGCTTGCTAACAGGTTTACAATAACAACTTTGCGGATAATAATTTGTCAGTGTCCTGCAGCTCCTGAGAGTAAATGTAGCTGCAGTATTGGCATAATACATATGTTCTCTTGTTTTAAATGTGTACATTTCTTAATCACATGTAGTCAATGAACATGTATATTCACTCTACGCTGACTGTTATAAAAGAACAATTTATGATTGAACACTGCAAGATCGCTTACAAAAAGTACAATTTGAACAAGCTGAAGTTTGACAAGTAAAAAGAGAATTTCTGTAAGAAGTCAGAAAGACATTATCAGCATCCCGGAATGACAAGACGGGTGTGATCTGCTGTCTTCTGGAGCAGAAAACAAGCTCTGATTGAATGCAATCACCACCAGTCAAAATATTCCAAAATAGCCCCCCTTGCCTTCCCTCTGCCCAAATTGACTATGCTTCTTCTGTCGTCATCGTCTTCTTCCACATTCTCTCTCTCTCTCTCTCTCTCTCTCTCTCTCTCTCTCTCTCTCTCTCGTCAGATTTCCATCTGGGCTTGACATTTGGTACCTACTTCATGTACAGGGCCAGGTCAGTGGCCAGAATAGCCCTCTCGATCATCTTCAGAGTGGTCTTGTACTCATCCAGGGAGAGGCCGCTCAGGATCTGGTTTCCCTGGAGAGAGAGAGAGAGAAACAGAGGGAAATAACTGTGTTAGTGCAGGAACAGCTCTGTATCTTATTTAATGATTTACACATAGTGACATGAAAAGTTTGACAACACGTGTGTACACAGAGTGAGCCTCTAAGGCTAAGGTACTACTGATAGTGTTGACCGCAGTTTGTTCTCCGATAGACCACCAAGGGGTTGCCATGACAACACGAGACTGCAAAAGCACACACACACACACACACACACAAATTAATCAAACAACCCGTCCACATGTCTTGAGTGTTTATAAGCATGTTAGTTGACACATTTTCGATATAAAGTGCTTTTAAGAGTGTGAACTTGCATGTGACATGGTTTGCAACAGGGTGTGTGTGTGTGTGTGTGTGTGCTT